TGGGAAAGTCAATTACCACATCACCTCAGAGGAGGGCAACTTACAACTCCTATTCTTTTAACTGAGGGACCCTTGGATCCACATTCATAGATATGAATCTTCTAAGAAGTTATACTACAAATATATTCACACATGGGCACAGAAAGATCACCATTATCATAGAAAAAGGGCTCATGATTTGTAAGAGAGAATTACCTAAGTGTCTCTTGGTATAGTACTGTCCTGCAGTAAATACAGGATGCCCATGCCCCATCACCAAAGCAGTACTCCACATCACAGAACTTGAATCTCTATAATATAGAGTCCTGTCATGGGTACTATTCCACGTTCCTTGGGTGAATCTGATGCAAAGCCAGGTTTGGGAACCAAGACTTAAGAACTTCATGCCTGTGGGTTACAAAAACTATCCAAGATCCATGGGTCCTGACGTGGGAACATCTAATATATTCAGAGAAAAAAGACAGACTGATAGAAGTCAAGTAACAGAAAAATGCATATACATTATCATTTATGTCAAAACTGAAAACAGGGCCTGGGGATTTAGCTCAGCGGCATAAGCGCCAGCGCATGGTCGTGAGTTCGATCCTCAGTACTGATAAAAAAAAAGAATATAAAACTGAAAACAAAGTGTATTTGTAGCAATACATATATTTTTTAGATATCCAACTTTCCCAAATCATAGTATGTGTGCACACACAGAAATCATTCTAGAACTGCTCAGAGTAGCAACTATAAAATAGTTACCCAAGTGCTTGGCACACAGAAGATGCCCGGTAAATGGTGACTATTACTTCCTTGTGTGTCTGAGTTTGTCCCTGCAGAGGTTATAGAAAGTTTTAAGTGACTAATGAATTTTCCTAAGCATCTGATGCAGGTGTTTGTAAACTACTGAAATAAAATATACACTTGTTCAATAACCTCAGTGACACTCAGTATACAATAGCTCATTAACTGTTATACTGACACTTTTACAACTAGTTTAAAATTTATACTCTTAAATGCAAAATGCTTCAATATTGATATCATGTTGATTTGTAGATCCATTATAGTGGCCCATTTAAAAGTTTTTCTGTCAACCAACAAATCTAAAAACTCCAAAGTAACATTACATACAACCTTGATGAAACTCAGTGAGAAAATTTGCACAAGGTTCTAAATGCTAGCTATATGAACAACAATGTAACAAACCTTTTTCTGGTGGTACTGAGGACAGAAGCCAGAGGCACTTTACCACTAAGCAACACCCTCAAATGTTTATAAGGGAGTGTGTGTGTGTGTGTGTTTAAATTGAGACATGGTCTTGCAGGACTTGAACTATGATCCTCTTGCCTCAGATTCTCTAAGTGCTAGAATTACAGGCATGTACCAGCACCTCCAGCTATGTAATAAACTTTTAAACATGCTTTCTTTTGAACTTTTCACATCCCAAAAGGCAATTTATGGAGAATATCTGGCTCACAAAAGTCATTATATTGAAAGTTCTTCAAATAGCCCCAGGGCTAGTGAGAGAGAACATGGAAAATTCTATTACAATACTATTTTTTCTTTCAACTCTTGTTTCCATTTTAGTTCTATTAAGGATCAAAATTCTAAGAGCACAAGCTTATAGAAAAAGATCAAATTGAGTCCAAAAGTCTTAATAGGGAGGAAGTTACAAAAATTAGAGCAGAAATTAAGGGAATTGAGACTAAGAAAACAAAGAATACAAAGAATCAATGAATCTAAGAGTTGGTTACCTGAAAGTTTAAATAAAATGAACAAACCTTAGCCAACCTTATAAAAAAAAAAGTAAGAAAGAAAAGACTCCGACTATGAAATTAGGAATGAAAAGAGTAAAAATCACAACAAATTCTGCAGAAATCAAGATGATAATTAATACTCACTTTGAGAATCGGTATTCTAATAAGACAGAAATCACAGAAGAAACGGGAAGGTTTCTAGACACATATGAATTATCAAAGCTGAATCAAGAAAATACAAAGATTCTAAGTAACCTGCTATCAGTCAATGAAATTGAAGATATAATTAAAAACCTTTCAACAAAGAAAAACCCAGATCCTAATGGATTCACCATTGAATTCTACAGCAAATTTATATCTAATGCCACCACTCTTCAAATACTTTAATTAAATTTAAAGGGAAGCAATGCTCCCAAATTCATTCCTGGAAGCAAGCATTATCTGACACCAAAACCACAGAAGGATCCACCCAAAAAAGAGAGTTAAGGCCAATCTCCCTAATGAACTTCTCAATAAGATACTGGCAAACAAGGCAGTAAATCATCAAGAAGATTATTTACCATCTCCCAAGTGAGATTCATCTCACACGTGCAGGAATGGTTCAACATATGCAAACCAGTAAATATAAGGCATCACATTAATAGAGCCATGGATAAAAACCACATGATCATCTCGGTAGATGTAAAAAAAGCATTTCACAAAGTGCAACACTCATTCATAACAATCCTACAGAAAACTGAACAGATGATCTTTATGTCAATCTGACAAAAGCCATCTATGACAAACCAACAGCCAACATCATACTAAATGGACAAACACTGAAAACTAAAATCATAGTGAATCACACTAAAATCAGGAACAAGGCAAAGATGCCCACTATTATCATACTCAATATAGTTCTGCAAACATTAGCCAGAACAATTAGAAAAGAGAAAGAAATAAAAGGAATAAGGATAGAAAAGGAAGAAGTTTAATTATCGTTATTTGCAGGTGACATGATACTCTACAAAAAAGATCCCAAAAACTCCAACAAAAGACTTGTAGACTTAATAATCAAATTCAGTAGCATAGCTGGATACAAAATCAACAATCAAAAATTAGTAGCATTTCTATATACAAATAACAAAGTCACAGAAAGATAAACTATACCTTTCACAACAGCATCCCCCCCTTCAAAAAAAGAAAAGTCATTAGGAAACAACTAACAAAGGAAGCAAAAGATCTTTACAGTGAATACTACTGTAATCTGAAAAAGGAGAGCAAAGAGGGCATCAGAAAATGGAAAGATACATCTTGTTCTTAGGTAGGAAAAACCAGTATAGTAAAAATGGCCATACTTCTAAAATTGTTACATAGATTCAATGCAATCTTAATCAAAATACCAAGAGCATTCCTCACAGAACTAGAGAAAACAATCTTAAAATTCATTGGAACCAGAAGAGACCTAGAATAGCAAAAGCAATTCTGAGCAATAAAGGTAAGGTGGGAGGGGAGCATCACAATCCCCGACTTGAAATTACACTATAAATTCATGGTGATAAAAACATTATGGTACTGCCAAAAATAAACAGACATGAGGATCAGGGGAACAGATTAAAAGATGCAGAAACAATTCCAAATGTACTCAGCCACTTTATGCTTCACAAACATATTCATTGGAAGAAAGACAGCCTCTTTCATAAATGGTGCTGGAGAAACAGGCTTTCCACATGCCAAAGACTCAAACTAGACCCAGGTCTCTTACTTGTACTAAACGAAAATAAAAGTGGATCAAATACCTAAATATTACAACAGAAACACTAAACCCGTTGGAAAATAGAATAGGGAGGACTTTTGAAGACATAGATGTAGACAAAGACTTTATGAACAAAAACCCCAATCACACAGGAACTACTGGGATCTTGTCTTATTAAAAAGGTTTTACAAAGCAAAACAAATTGCCAGCAGAGTAAAGAGACAACCCACAGAGCAGGAAGAAATTTCTGACAGCTGTTCCTCAAAGGACTAATATCACAAATACTTAAAGAACTCTAAAAACTAAGACCCTCTAAATATAAAGGCCCAATCCGAAAAATGAGCATGTGAAATGAATAGACACATCTGAGATGAAGTAGAAATGGCAAACAAATATATGAAAAATATTCAACATCACTGGCCATTAAAGTAATGCTGAGCTTCCAGCTCATTCCAGAAAGAATAGCTATTACCAAGAAATCAACTAGTAACAAATGCTGGTGAGACTGTGCAGAAAAAGGAAGTCTTCTTCATTGTTGGAGTATAAACTGGTATAATAACTGTGAAAATCAATGGGAAATTCCTCAAAAACTTAAAACTGGAGGTTTTATGTGATCCAGTATCCCCCTTCTTGGTATTTTCTTAAAAGAATTAAAAGCACTGCATCACAGTGATGTATGTACACCCAAGTTTACAGCAACACAATTTGTAATAACTAAATCTTGGAAACAGCCCAAATGCCCTCAATTGATAAATGGATAAAGAAGATGTGACTTTGTCATACAATGGAGTACCACTCTGCCATAAAGAAGGATAAATTTCCAGATAAGTGGATGTACCTTTAGATCATACTCTTAAGTAAAATAAATTGGGCATACATGTTCAAATATCACATGGATTCTCTAGTGTGAGAAACTGAAAGAGTAAATAAGGACCAAAATGTATAACAGATATGGTGAAATACGAAGAAAATGTTCAAATGGTAAGGGAGAACTAGGGATAGGGAAGGGAAAGGAAAGAAGGGAAAAGAAAAAAGAATAGAAGGGGGGCTGGGGATTTAGCTCAGCGGCATAAGCACCTGCCCTGCAAGCAGGCGGTCGTGAGTTCGATCCCTGGTACCAGAAAAAAGAAAAAGAATAGAAGGAAAAAATGGAAACAAAGCTTTTATAAATAAGGTGGAGGAGAGGGGCTAAAGGGAGGGGAGGGGTTGGGAACACAAGAATCACAAGACATCATGTACAGGTACAAATTCCACTTGATGAATGTCATCAATTATGTATATCTAAAATGCACCAATAACATTAATTTTAAAAATCCTGAGAAAATCTCGAGAGCATCACAAATATACCCTATAATAAGGGGCATCAGTATGTTCTTAAATGAATGTTATGCAGTACTTGGTATGTATTTAAGATGCAATAGAAGTAAAATGTGTATTTTTATAAAAGTGAATTCAATACAATTTTCAAAACTTCATTTTCAGACACTTATAAAAAGTATATATAATTCACATTTAATCCAACTTACTTGGCCACTGAATGTTTGGCTGCAGCAACTTTAAAGTTGATTTCCAACAATGTTCTCCTGTACATGCTCCTGAAGTTCTATCTTCAATGGCTGAAATGTATGAAGTCTTCTTTATCAATCAGGAGAGTCACCACACTGTTCAGAGAACAAAATGAAAACAATGATCATATAAAGGGGTAAGAGATAGTGTCTTACTTTGTCATTGCCAAGACACAATACCTGACACCCACAACTCTAAGGAGGACGGGTTTATTCTGCTTCACAGTTTGTAGCAGTCTTAGTCCATAGCCAGGTAGCTCTATGACAAGTGACAAGATAGCATAGAGGAGGAAGTTTGCTCATGTCCTGGCATCAAGATGCAGATGGACAGACAGATCAAGGCAAGTGAGAAAAAGATAGACCCTTCCAGGCCATACCCCCTTCTGGCTATGCCTTCCAATTCAAATATTCACTGAAGAAATATTAACTAAAAAGGAAATCAGTGGTCTGGAGAATGCAAAATGATTAGCAGTCCCAGTGAGATAAAGTTGCCACTATTTTGGAAGCAGTGTCTACTGAAAAAGAGCGATGCATTTTTATGAAATTGTAATGAACTACTGGAATATAACTATGTATAGCTTAGAGGTCAGTGATCACATCTGAATGCCACTATCAGTCAATAGGATGTGACTGTCAAGCTTTGGGGAAATGCTTAACACACGAGGCATCTGTTCTGATTGTTAATGCTGATAGTCTTTCTTGTTACTTGAATTCCAAGTGACTTCCAGAAATTCCAGATGACCTAGGAAGAACTATGTACTGATTAAATTTCCAAATGTGAAGAAGCTACACAAATGCAGTCTTGAGAAAGTAAAAACCTGAAGGATCTGTTCTTATGAAAACAAAGGTTGTTTTCTTATGAATATGCATTTGTACCTTCCCTGTACAAAACACTATAAAAGTACCTAGACTTTGAGAGTAGGACAAAGGTCAAGGCAGAGCACATGAGCTGGTGGGCATGCTTCCAGAGCACATGTGCTGGTGGATGAATTGATGACTAACTCCTCTCACTAAAGAAAGCTAAAAAATCAATGAAAATATAAATAATAGCACTTACAAGAAACAGCACATTTCTCCTTGGTGATTCCTGTCCATTTGCTAAATGTTGGAAAGTTATCCATAAAGCTAAACAAATATTTACGGCAACAAACAAGATGTGAAGAACAATGTTTGTTGGATTTTAATTCTGTAAGTTACAACATTCTTGACCTATACCTGGGTCAAAACCTAAACAAAATAAAAAGTCTTTTTCATAGTCATCAAAAAGAAGCTGATATTATTTAGTGTGTCCTATTCACTCAACTCTAATTTTCTAAATAATGAGGTGTGAATACTAATTGCTTTATCGGGTTAACTCAAAAAGGTACAAAAGAGACTGCATTTCTTAAAGAATTTGTTCTAAACAAAATAACATGAAAAGCTCTATTTTAAAATTGTTATTCCTCGGGGCTGGGGATTTAGCTCAGCGGCATAAGTGCCTGCCTTGCAAGTAGGCAGTCGTGAGTTCAATCCCTGGTACCGATGAAAAGGAAAAAGACAAAAAAAAAAAATTGTTATTCCTACTCCTTTACATGCTGGCAGATTTGACTAAGATTAATATTTTGAGTTCAGATTCTGAGAAATATTATTAAACAGTCAAAAGTTACCACTGGCTAAATATGAGAACCATTAAGACATGGCTGGTTAAATGATTTAGGGTACCTCCCCAGAGTGAAATATTCTACAGTCGTCAAAAACAATGATACATACATTCTGTGAATACGCATACTTTTGATTTGTCAGTTATACCTTAATTTTAAAAAATGAAATATATATCAAGAGGTCAAACCAAAAGTTCAAGTTGCAGAGTACATATAGCACATCATAAACACACACACGTCAAACTGGTTTCTTTCTCACAGGCACAATTCACAGGGAGGTAAGACTCAAACTCTGCCCACACACATACAAATCTTAATTTTACAATTCTGATAACCTATATTTTTCTATTCATACATTCAGTCAAGCACCTAATAAGCATTCACTCACTCCTCTGTTCAGTCTTGGTAAATGAAGTTGAAAAAAACTGACCTGAACTCTGCCTTCGCAGAGCAAACAATTCACAGCCTCACAAAGCCGTGGCTTCTCAAGCTACCTCAACACTCCGTACCATCTGGCTTTGTAAGAAGAGGGCTAGTGTATGAGTTTGTGTCTGTAGAAGTGGTCAGCCTTTCTTCTTAGTCAACTTTCGACTTGTTTCAAATACTATTTCAGTCTACCAGCGACTTCCAGCTTCCTCGACTTGGAACATCCAGGAGTGGAAGGAGAGGAAAGGATTGAGTGGTGACTGTGATCCATGGGAAACAGGAGCACAGAAGTAATTGTGATGCCAATATTTGAGATTCCAAACAAGCACTGGATTTCTATGTTCATCCACAAGGATGGACAGGAAACTGCCTCTGACTATGAATAAATAGAACGATGGGCAAAACATATGAAACAGCTATGTTTGGTCAGTGGACAAAAGTAATACAGGACAGCCCTGACACTTAGACCTACAGGTCCTAAGGGTAAGACAAACCAAAACCAAGTTCAAGGACCTTACTGGGTTGAGAGCTCAGCAACAAAATTCAGAGAGACTAAGAGAACTAAGCTCTGTAAATCCGCAAAGAAGACACTCAAATCATAGGGTGAATATGTATCTGCACAGACATGGGACACACACAGTCCCTTGTAATACACAGAACATCAGGAAGAATCGCCAAAGGGTCCTAGACGCAGTCTACTCTAGAAAAAGCAGTTCCAAATGGATGTCACTGATCCCAAATAATTTAGTTGTGTAAATTAACCATGTGTCAGAACAAAGTCCAAGACTCTTTAAAGGAACTTCAAGTGGACAGAAAATGATCAGAGAGAAACCTGGAACTCCATGAAGCAGCAAAAACTGCTAGAATGGCCAACTTGTAGGTTAGTATAGTACAGAATTTTTCTAGCCACCAAGCTTTGGAATGTGATGACACTAACAGGGGTCAGAAGGTCAAGATCAAAGTAGTCCTCAACTCTCCTCCCAACTATCTGCCAGCCTTAGTCAGTCTCCTTAAGCTCTCTGAGCTATCACGTGCTCAAAATAATGCTATCCCTTGAACCACTATCACGTTATACAGTGAATAATCAAAGTGTGGTGGAAAATTCACTCACTCATCCAACAGATATGTACTGAGGAGCTTCTCTGTATACCTCTTTGCATGTCTGAACCTCAGTTTCTTCATCTTTATAGTGAAAGCATTAACAGTACTAAGCCTACAGCTTTTAAGTGTTTGTTGCTGTTGTTGCTATTAATGCTGCTATTGCTAGGTATATAATGATAAAAAAGACCAACTGCATCCTTGGCACAGAAAATTTACATTTGAGATGCATAATTAAAAAAAAAAAAAGCTTTGGGGATGAAATGCTAAAACTGCACCTGAGAAAATTGTGGATTAGGTAGAAAAAGAGAATACTAACCTAAAAAGAAACCTAGACCTTAACCTTCACTCTGCTTCTTGAGAACTTCTATGGCACTGGATTAAGTTCTTTTTCTTATTGAGCCTCAGTTTATCCCTCCAGAGGCAAGACAATAATCTTCAATGTCTTTTTCCATTTCTACTATCTGATGAAGTCAGACAGAGGATCCATTTTGGAAACATCTTGCTCCTGTCTTTATTTGACCAATTTAATCCTCACAGTCTCCATATATTTGGAAACAAGTAGTTTTGAACCGCTGGAAGACAGTTTGTGATATAAGAAAACCAGGAAAAATAACTGTAAATCTAGGATTTAATAAAGAGAAGTTTGCCCATTCCCTCCAAATCTAGAACAAAGGCTGCCTAATTTACGCCTCTGAAAATGTGGGATGGATAGCCCAAGTGTTCTTGCCCACTGCTGAATAAATTATTATTGTGATCTTTGAGGAGCTAAATAATGTAATCATAGAAAGCAGGCAAGAGTCTCCTCTGGTTCTAATGTTTGAGTTGGCACTTAACGTAGCAAAATTTTCTCTCACACAATTACAAAATGGAGGAAGAAATGGCAGGGTACTGCAAAAGCTTCTTCTTAAAGAGAAACAGAAAAAATATATAAACAGCTAGTTTCTTTCACCTGTTGTTTCTATTACCAAGGCCACAACTGGTAGTATCAAACTACAAACACAAAAACTCCCACAAAATGATTCAAACCTTACAAAACACAGATAATTTTAGACAAGTCTCAAAAACCAATGTTATACTTTTGGTGAATTTCAGTCCTAATCGAAGAGGAAATGTTTGAAGATGGAGAGAATCTTTGGTCAATGTTCCAGGAACAGTTGAGAAAGTCCTTTCCAAAATTACCAACATTTTGAAAAACTTGCCAAAGTTCACAGAACCTCATAATGTTAAAAAAAAAAAAAAAAAACAAAAACAAACTACCAGTTTTGTTGGAGAGAACATACTGTGCAATACTTCTGTACATACAAAATGCCATACTCAATTTCAGGAAGTTCTCAGACACCCAGAAGTACAACCAGGGCTTCTGCATAAGAAACTCTTGCTTAAAGTAACATACAACAAAAGTGCGTTGAAGGATTCCCCAACAGGCATGTTTGTGTACACGTGTATGTGTGTGTGTGTGTGTGTGTGTGTGTGTGTGTGTGTGTGCGTGTGCATAGTAACACAGTAATGGTTGAGAGTGAGGTATATCTACTTTTGGGTTATCATATCACTAACTCTGATAAACATGTCTCTTAAACTATCTGTCTACCTCACAGTAGTTTTGATGGCAATTACTCTATTTCCTTGTCCATCCCTCTAATGGGGAGGTTGACCAGATGCATCCTGCCTCTCCATCCACATAGGTGGGCAAATGGGATTGACTTTGCCAGTTGAGATACTCCATTCCCTAGATAAGTGACTGACCTGGAAAAGACAAACCACACTCGGGAAACCAGAGATCTTTATGTGAATGGATGCTGCAGATGACAGGGCAGATCTCCTTTCCTGGCATCACTAAAACTAAGGACCATACATGCAAATTTGTAAGGGTTACTTTTCCCATCATGTTAGAAAGTGTTTGAAAATGAAGCCAGAAAACATAAAAGCAGA